GTAGAGAATGAAAATGTAGGACAAAGACCAACAAAATTTGTTAAATGATGAATTGAATGGGATGAACATGAATACTCCAGATGATGAGATTGGACATGATGTGGAGGAGGACCAAACACCTACACCTATTGTTGATATAAGGGGCAATTCTCAGTTAAAACAGTTGAACAATCTTCAAGATGATGAGACAGGTTTTTACATAGGAATGACATTCAAGAACAAAGATGAACTAGTCACTTCATTGCATATTGCTTGCTTGAAAAAAGATTTCAGACTTGCAAAGGTGACTAATTCGCGTAGTGTGTATTATTTTAAATGCGCACATCCAGAGTGCAAGTGGTGGTTGAGGGCTGTGAAATTCAAAAGTTCTGACAGATTTTGTATTAAAATTTATAAAAAGTATCACACATGTGGTTCAGAGCTTATTACAAGTCATAATTCACATGCCACAGCAAAGTCCTTGGTAAATACTTCAAAATAGCTTTCCTAATGGTAAGGGTCCATCTACAAGAGATATGACCAATCAACTCCGTACAGAATTGGGTTGTAAGGTGAGTTATTGGAAGATATATAAGGGTAGGGAGATTGCAAAGTTTTTGGTTAGGGGAACACATGAGCACGGGTATGGAGTGCTTGATGCATACCGCTATATGCTTGAGTCCGCAAATCCAGGAAGTAAGACGGCATTGCAGGTTGATGAAAATGGAAAGTTCAAGTACTTTTTTGTAGCCTATGCGGCTTGGATTCAAGGTTTTCAACAATTGAGAAAAGTCATAGCCGTTGACGGGACATTCTTGAAGAGCAAGTATGAAGGAGTTTTACTGTCGGCGGTGGTGCAAGATGCAGAGAATCATATTTTTCCGGTGGCTTTTTGTGTAGTGGATAAAGAATGTGATGCCTCATATCAATATTTTTTTGAACAAATGAGAAGTTATGTAGATGATACTGATGAGCTGTGCATAATTTCTGATAGGCATTCAAGTATTCAAAAGATGGTTTCAATTGTGTATCCATCAGCTCATTATGGTTGTTGCATGAGGCACCTTGGAGAAAATATTCGAAACAATTTTCACAATGCAAAGGTCGTATCTCATTTTTATAATGCAGCGAAAGCGTACAATAAAGTTGAGTTTTATGACCATTTCAATCAGATAAGGGATATGGTACCCAAGGCAGCCGAACATCTCGAATCAATTGGATTTCATAGATGGAGCAAGGCATTTTGCCCGGGAAATAGGTACAATATTATATATTGAGTATCTTGTTTAAGTTTAATATAATTATATATCTTATTAAGTTATTTTTTTTATAGGTATAATATTATGACCTCAAACATTGTTGAATCCGTGAATGCAATGTTTGAAGTTGAAAGAGAATTTCCTATCGTCGCTTTATTTGACGAAATAAATATGAGATTTGCAAAATTATTTCACGAAAGGCGTATGGAGTTGGTCAACTCACCAAACATATTTGTTCCTTCAATGGAAAAACAAATATCAAAGAATAGCAAACTGGGAAATAAGTTATTGGCCCTTCAAATA